TCTTTCTTTCTTTCTTTCTTTCTTTCTTTCTTTCTTTCTTTCTTTCTGTCTTTTTCTCATTCTCTCTTCCTTTTTCTATTCCCCTTTATTTTCCCCTTTATCTCCCCTATTTCTTCCTCATTCCCTTTTTCTTCCCTTTTCTCTTCTTTTTTCTCACCGCATCCTACAATTTTTCGGATTAATATTCACTAGAACACATTTTCACCAGCCATCATTTTCCCTTTTTCATCACTCCACCCTTTTCTTTCTATTTCCCCCCTTGGGTAGGGGAGGAGAGGGAGATGGGGAATGGAACAGAAAACAAGCAGCTTGACAAATGCATTTCCTCAAAGAAAATAATAATAATAAGAATAAATTAAGAGAAACAGGTATTATTTCCTTACCTTTTGACGTCCGTTTCTGTGGTATAAGCAAAATATATAGGGAGAGGGAGACAGCGTTTGCTTATCTGTTAGCTGACAAATATTGTCCCAACCTGATAGCCGTCGATTGCCTCTCTGACTTGTGAGAGCTTCTTGCATTTCTGTCATTTGCATAGAAAATGGAGTAACTTCCCTCTTTGAAAAATGAAAGCCGCCACTCCGTCCAGAATCTCCACTGTCCCTCCATTACTACTGAGATTCCAAATCGGCAGGCAAATTAACAGAGGAATTAAAAAGAAAAAAAAAAGAAAAAAGAAAAAAAAAAGGAAAAAGGAAAAAAAGAAAAGGAAAAAAAAAAAAAAAAAAGCCTCTTTTCCTATGTGTGTGTGAGGATGGGAGCCTATGTGTGTGTGTGGATGTGTGGATAGGCGTCCCCCCCTCCCCTCTCCCCTGCTTTAAACCTATCGAGCCTATACACCAAAGTAAAAAAATGTAAAGAGGAGAGAGCCCTATAGAGGACACTGATCCGACCCAAGGTGCAGCGGACAGAAGAATGGTGCAATATAACCACATGGGAAATAATAAAAAGTTCATGTTCACGGTTAGCAGTCCACATGACCGGCTCTGGCCAATCCCAGAACCCAGCCACTCATAAAGTTCTATCACAAAGTTGTAAATTTTCATAAAACAACAAGGAATTTATTGCATTTCTTCATGACCGGTTTAACAGCAGTCTTTTTCTTAGCCGCCATCTTTTTTTTAAAACAAAAATAAAAGAATATGAAAAGGGGTTCGGGGATTTTTTTCCCCCCCTTTGGTTCTACGGAGGGGGGGGTGTTCGAGAGAAATGATCGAATAATTCCTCGTGTAATAGGCTATGAACAATAATGACTCCCCCGAAATAAAGAGATTGGGCTTGGGGTTGGCTTTTAAACGAGCAAAGCCACTAAAACAGTGGGGTTCAGGGGAGACTTTGGATGCCTCTGGATTTTTCAATGCAACGGGGAACCTTTTTTAATTTCTTATTTTTTTACTGCGAAGGGCAATTCGCTGATTTCGGGGGTAACAAAAAGGGAAATACAGGCGGACAGCAGCGCTCGTGCCTCGGGTAGAACCGGGTCGGAGGGGTGGGAGGGGGGTGGGGGGGCTGTGCTCAGCGGGTCCCCACGGCCGCTCACCCCCAGGATCCGCTTTCCCCCCCCCTCCTCCTTCCCCCCCCATAGCGCGGGGACTCCCATAGGGACACACGGGGTGCGCAGTTCGGGTCTCGGAGGTATCGCCATGGCACACAGTTCGCCTTTTCCATGAGACCTTCCTCGATCCCTCCTCGATCCCTCCTCGATCCCTCCTCGATCCCCTCTGCTTGCGGCACAGCTCCGTGTCGGAGGGGGCCGATGCAGCAGAACGGGAAGGGGGGGGGGGGGGGGGGGGAGGGGGGGCGCGGGGGAGGGGGGAAATTTCTAGAAGCGCATGTTTTATTTATTCCTTTTAAACCTCGCGAAAGGATCGCAGCGAAGGATTCAATAAGAAAAAATAATAAAATAAAACGGAATATTTCCCTTTGTTTTCCCTTCCTTCGAGCGGAATTTCCAGTGTTCATATGCCACCGTAAGTGGCACCTTTTACTAATGGGCTTGCCGTAATTAGCAGATGCAGCCTGCGCTGCAAATCGCTCTTATGGATGTGGGCGCGCGGCTCCTTGACGTGGCATCATCCCCCCTTCTTTTTTTTCCCTGGTACTTCTGCTGGATGCCCCGCTCGCCTCCGTGGGGCCAACCGTGGCTGTGGGTGGCGAAAAGGAAAGGGAGGAAGGCTGAAAGCTGCCATTCCCCAACCAGAAGCTCTATGCGCTTCCCCGGCCGCATCCTGAGAGCGCATTTGACGAGCAAGTTACGCGGAGCCTCCGCTGGATGAATCCGCGTTGTGCCGCGCACTCTGTAATATATAAACGGGAGGGGGAGAGCGGCAGGGGCTGCGCAAGTGCTTAAATTTGCTCGCTTTTGTTTTGCATTCTTGATTCCCCCCCTCCCCTCCCCTGCCCGTTTAATTGCTTTAATTCCTTTTATGCGCGCTTCGATGCTAAACATTATTCGGTGCTAATGAAAGAGTTCCAATCCGCAGTAATTGAAGAGCGGAGGGAGAATCTTTAAAAAGAAAAAAAAGAAAAGAAAATAGTAAAGCCCCGGCGAAACAGATCGGGCCTTTTTATTCCTGTAAATTGGTTCGAGAAGAAGAGAATTGCAACGAAAGGTGATTTGGGCCTCTCTGCATTCCTCCTTCGGCAGTGGCCGCAGAGGAGGCGGTCGCGAATTTCAGTGCCGCTCATCGCATTTTGGCCAAAGCTCTCCAAAAAGAAAAGCGCTCAAATGTTGGAAGAGCTGCTGAGAGGAAAGAGGAGCTCAGGGTGGTGAAAAGTCGGGGCAGGTTTTAATAGGAAAGGGGCCTTTTAATAGAAACATTTGCTCGTATATAATTAGAGAGATTCCAAAGCCTTGAGTTGTGTTCTTAGCAAGGAAAGGCAACGGAACACAACGTGGTTCGAGAAGGTTGGAGATTTCCTTTTTATTTTGAAGAATAATCAACACAGACGAGGGAAAAATAAAAAGCAACACGTCGCCATTAAATACTTTGCTACTTCGATATACAACAGTTTACGTAGCACAATATTAATTCCTCTTCTTTTGTTGTTGAGTGTGTGGGGTTTTTTTTTTTTCCTAGGGTTTGAACAAGGAGGAAATCCGGGTAAAAATGTACACAGACAAAACAGCCTTGCAACGTGGAAAGAACCACAGAGGTTACAGGGAGAAGGCGTGATAATAATTCCTATTATGTACAGGACTCTATATATGCTAAGTATAATTTGCATTCAGATTTTCAGGTCACATCTTCTAAATTAAAGGTGCTAAACACGACCACGTTACTTCATACCCAAAAGTACACAGCGAAGTACAAACGGAGATTTACAAATTACTGGGACTATAGGAAGACTCACATAGGAAAAAAAATGTGTCTATTCTGAATCTAAAGCCACATTTAATAGGTAGATATTCATCTATTGTACAAAAAAAAAAAAAAAAAGACTTCAATATAGGTAGTATTTTTTTTTCAGTGTCAGGAAACACAATGCATCATTCCTAAGTTTTTAATTATTTATGCACTTAACGTTGATCTATTTTAGTATATAGTCTTTTCTGGGTGGTTTTTTCCCCTTTTTTATTTGTTTCCCCGTTCCCGTGAGCTTTCACGTTTCCTGGATCCACCTTTTGTCCTTTTCATTCCTCCTCGTCATCCTCCACGTCTGCCTTTTCCTGGCTGCTGGAACCGGAGCAGGCAGTTTTATTTTCTTTTTTCCACTTCATGCGCCTGTTCTGGAACCAGATTTTGATCTGTCTCTCCGTGAGACACAAAGCATGGGCGATCTCAATGCGTCTCCTCCTCGTCAGGTAGCGGTTGTAGTGAAACTCCTTCTCCAGTTCCAGGGTCTGATACCTGGTGTAGGTTTGCCGGCCGCGTTTTCTATCCGTTCCTGGGAAGGAAATACAGATTGGGATCAGTTAGATTCGGAGGTGTGGAGGGGTGAGGGGGGGGAGGAAGGGGGTATTTTTTGGTGCCCGTCCCCTTCAGCTCCACAAAACGAAGGGCACAACCTGACCCTATTTATCTCCTCATCCTCGATACCAACTCTCTGCTCTTTCCCCACCTCACCCTCCCTGTTCTCGGCCTCAAAACGTCGCCAGTTTAATAATCGCCCTTCATCTCGGAGAGGCGAGCTGTGATTTTCCACGTGCAGCCCCGCTGTGTCTCAAAGCCGAGCGGGATGAAGCTGCAAACTTCACCAAGTTTTCTTCTCTCTTATCAGGGCTCTCGGCTCCTGTTCGAATTCCTGCTTCAACACCACAAACTTCGGATGGAGGAGAGATAAATACACAAAAAGAACCCAGCGAGAGAGGCACCCGCTACCTCCAACCCCAACTATTTGTCCTCTCCTAAAGCTGTCATCGAGCTTCTTGCTTAGGAAGGTGTGTGATGGTCTTAATTATTGCAGGGAATGTTTCGGGCACAACAGTGGCTTCTGCTCGGCTGTGGCTGACGTGGAAGCTGCTACCCCCGGGTGTTCACAACATGGCAAGAGCCTCAAATCTACCGCAGCCTCTGAGCTGCTATTCCGCTGTTTGGAGAGGGTCTGTAAGGGGCCCGACCCGTAATTCCACCGCCATTCTCCAGCCCGACGTTTCCTGAGTCCGAGTGGGAATAATGGTACAATATAGCCCTTGTGATCCTTCTCTGTTTTCTGTGTAAATGCCATGTCTATCTATAGGAGAATGTATTCTTTCGTGGAGAAGTGGGGATGGCGGACAGCAGCCCTCGGCCTCTCCTCCACACATTCCACCGGACTCCACTTTCTTCCCCCCCCCCCCCCCCCTTTTTTCCCCCCCTTTTTTTCTTTTTAAAGGAAGAAAAGATCCAGTCATTAAAAGGAGGGGGGGGAAAAGCAAAATAGCCGTGCTAGCTGTAAAGTACGAATCTGCAGGTCGTGGAATGTGGGTTGTAAAATCTGCTGAGGGAGAGCCATAAACTGCTGCTGAATAGGGATGACAACTCTATCTCTGCTCGCTGATGAAATTCCACAACCGCGATCACACAGTGGGCATCAGGCGCCGGAGGAGGGATCCCCGAACTCGAGTTTCTCTGGTTTTAGGCACAGCAGATCGCAGAGCATCCAGGTTTGGGAGTGCGAGGTCCCCCCGTTTGCTCTTCTTCCAGATCCTCCTAAACGCTGCTCCTCTCAGCGTCACACGCTGAAAGGGGTGGTGGGTGGGTTGGGGGGGCGTGGGGGGTGGTTGTGCAGGGGTGGGGAGTGGAGGGCTTCCTAAATCTAAAGCCGGATAAAAGGGGAGACGAAGTGTTTACGACCAGAAATATTTGGTCTTTGATAAATCAACTCTAAAAGTGAATGACTTATGGAGCAGGTAATGGAAAGGACTGACCACCAAATCAGTGCGAGGGTACCTCCTGCCTGTGAAGCCGCCCAGCATTGGCTGCCCCTCTGTTTTCCTTTCCCCTCTCTATGCAGGAGGCTGGCCCGCACTCCTCTCGCCCCCGAAGTTTACTAACACGACACTTTCCGAAGGTTTGGCTGCTCTCGTGGATGCTCTCAAGTTGCAATCTGGCACCGAGGCGGCCACAGACATGAGCTCATGCGTTCTCCTCGCTCCCGGGCAGTACAGCTCTTCCCGACTCCGTGCCAGGGTCACCCGGGTACAAACACATCCACGGGTGTCCGAAGCACAGGGAAATACCCCGGGTGGGGCCCGGAGCGAAGGGAATCCCGGCCCAAGGAGCTCCTTTCCCTCGTCCCATGCGCTCCAGTGCGACGGGAACGGGATATTTAGGAAACCTTACTTGACACTGAGACGGAACACGGCTGGGGATGAAGGCAGAGCAGCGTCCCGGCATGGGGTGCCCCCCGCCCACCCCCACGAGCGGAGCCCTCCGTGGGGTTCCCCGCTTTGGGATCCTGCTTGGGGTTATTTGGAAAGTCACCCCTCAATCCCTGGATGTATCCCTACAGCCGGATCCCGACCGGAATGTCAGCGTTTTTAATGTAAGCAGGGCTTTTAATTGAGCCAAGGATGATGCGTTGCTCTTTCGGATGGCAACACGCTAGGCTTAATCGCGGTGTCTGGGACGCGGTGGCGAGGGGCTGGCAGTGGAAAGGTCTGCAGCCTGAGAGAAAACAAAACGAGCTTGCGAGCACCTCCCATCAATAGTTTATTTCGGAATCTATATCTACATCTACACAGGGGTAGCGCGATCTTCATCCTGTAAATATAGGAGAAGAAGGGGATGGCCATTATTCCTGCAGCTCTGTCTGTCCCCTCTAAGACAAACTGCCTTTTGCACGGCACACACACAACCCCAGCACCACTAATAAATATTTAAAGCTAAAAGGATGGCTTTATGGCGGGGGTTTCTCTCTCTCTCTCTCTCCCTTTTGAAGCCGGAGATTCGTTTTCGGTGAAACGTCATGAAAGGAGTTGGGGACAATTCCCCCCTCCCCTCCCCCTCCGCCACCCCCCGCGCACGCCATAAAATAATTTACACTCCCCCCACCCCCCCGGGCTCCTTTCTTTAAGGAGGATTGCGCTTACCTGTGCTCCTCATCCAGGGGTAGATACGGAAGTTACTGTCGCTTTGCAAATCTGAATCCCTCTGGTCCGTTTTGTTGCAGTTCTGCTTGGAAGCATCTCCCGGACACATCATGGAGAGGTTTTGCTCAAAGGGGGAACAGTGCATGTTGAAGGAGCCGGGCTCCAGGCCGTACCCCGAGGAGTACATGCCGGGGGGTTGGGGATGCACGGCGCTGCCGCTGGAGTACAGCCCGGGCATGGAGGAGGCGAAGGGAGGCGTGGAGCCGGCCCCATAACCCGTTCGTTGGGTATTGGAGGCGAAAGCGCAAGAAGTTTGCTCGGGAAAGACTCCGGATGAGAAAACCGAACTTGCGGCTTGATATTTAGAAAATAAAGCATTCGCATAATACAATGAACTCATAATTTGGCCGGGTGATTTGTAGGTCGGGACGTTTTAGTGTCGGTTTTACGAGGTACCGTGATATATTACGGAATTAGAGTCCAGATTTACACCAAAAAGGAGCCCTTTTTCCTCCCGGCCCATGTGACGCGCGGGCACGTGGCTCCAGCGGCGCCAATCGCCGCCCGCTCCCTCCTCGGGGGCAAAAAATTGTAGTGCTGCTGGATTTATAAAATATGATAAATAATTGATGCGATATAAAACCCTCCAAGATCTATGCTGGAAGGGGGTGAAATTGTGCTGGAGTCGATAAGCAACCTGTAATCAGTTTTCAGCTGAGACCGAGGGAGAAAGAGAAAGGCGAAGGGGAAGGGGGGGGGGGGGGGGGGCTGGTGCTCGGCGCTGCTCCTCTCGGTCTCTCTCTGGTGGAGGAAAAGGAGCGGAGCTCTATTTATCCCTTTATTGATCCCGTCGAAAATTCCCTCCTTCGCTCCATTTCCCGGCTCCGAAGCACTTTTTTCACCAGCCAGTACACGATTTCCAACCCCCCCTTCCCCCTTCAACCCCCCCCCCC